AGATGAAAATAAGGCACCTGTTTATTATCAACAATCAGCTGAGATATATCCTGTTAAAGAAGTGCAAGATCAGGGTTGGCCCCACCAAGAAGGATTTAATGAAAACCATAAGTCATCTATTTGCTATCAAAAATCCACCGAGAGTGATGACCCTGTTGAAATAAGTGACGATGTGTATAATGATGAACGTGAAAGTGGAAAAATTGAATCAACGAGTATAAATGAGTGGTTTTCGAAAGATATTGAAGATGACAAATTAAATAAAAGAACGAACTTTAAGATTTCCAAAAATCGTGAGCCTGATGATAACATCTATCTGAAAGTGGATAATAGTGAAAATGATGATGATGGGAAGACAAATTTTAGTGAAAAGAATAAAAGAATAATATATAATATCGAAGACCCTATTAGTGATATGGAAATATTAATTGGAAATAACGATAGAAACAAAGATAAGGATAAAGAAGTGATTAGAAAAAGTGAAACGTACCTTCTCTGTGAAAGTTTCAACGAACCACTTGCTGATTTAGATAAGGTGCTAGAAATTGAATCATAGGATGTAAAGACATTAGAAAATGAAGAAAGAAACTAAAAATATAGTTAAAAATCAAGAGTTTACCTACCCTGGTAAGAAAGAAGAAGTAATGCCTGCTGATCTCTATGAAGTATTGGAAGGGTATTTGAAATATATTGAGGATGATAACCTAAATAGACTGTACAACTCTGGATCCTGCTTCCGAAATGGCATGATTAAGAATGAATAGATGGCGTGTTGAAATCGGCAGAACTTGAGGATAAAATCAAAAATAATGGTATGCATTTAGAAGATTGATTTGAAGAATCTATAGTAGAAATCAAGAATAGTATGAATAGAGGCGTTGAAAATGATACTCACTAATTGACTGGCCCATTATTTCTATCTCTTGATCCCAGAGAAGAAATTCGTTTGACCACCTTAATGCTATACTAAAAGAATCATAAACCACTTGTGATCTCTAAATGAAAATTGTCTTAATCCCGGTATCCAATTTCGCAGGAGCTCAATCTCAAGGGAGGCATATGTTATGAATAGAATTCCATACAATAATATTTTTTTTTCATTTGCTTCTAAAAATTTATAGTTTAGTACCATTCTATTTTCATAGCATGTAATCAACTTATTTTTTTGTAAATATTTTATCACTTATTCTATTATAGAAATTGAAGATGGCTTAGTGGCTTAGCTGCATGAGAATCAGATGAACCATGTAAATACTGAAAAAACCATGTATACATGGTTATACAAAGACTGTGTCTTGAAATCTTTCAGTGTCTACGGTGTATTCGCCCAAATTTTCATATAAACCTTGGCATTTAGGTGTAAACCTTAAAAGTTCAATGTCTATGTGGTGGAAAAATAAAATGTATATAAAGACTATGATTTCAATAAACAAAAAGATAGTCCTTGTCTAGTTTTGATTACTGCAAAATAATAAAGTATATACTTATCTGAATTTCCTTGAGAATTTGTCTTTGAATTCGACTTGTAACTTTAATAAACTCTTTTGAGACTTAATTCGACAGACTGAATTAACTTGTAACTTCGATTTGACTTATTAAGACTCAGATTCTAGAACACCTCTGACAATTATAAACAACTCCCTTCATTTCTCCTAGTTTATTATTATCTTCCCATATACCATTGAAGTTAAATTGGCCTTCTCTCCATATTATTTCATAAGCTCTCCCATCAACGGTTATACTACTTTCTTCACAATTGAGTATTGCTGTTAAAAATAAATATATAATGGTTAATAATATAAAAATGAATTTAAAAAAATGCATTTACTGATGATCTTACTCATAATCTAGGCTATTTAGTGACCAAATCTACCAAAATAATTTAATGAAGTCATGAGATGAATGTGAATGCAAGGTAACTGAATAGCTTGCTCCAAATATGACCACAATATTTTAAGCTTAAATCCAACCTATACAACCTATAATAGTTGTGATTGGAAGTCGAATGGTCAATTCATACGGTTTATAATTATTAACAGCCTAATTCACTCAAAATAATTTAGCATAGTTATGATCTGAATCGGGTAAATGAATAGCCTTTCCAAATATAACTACATTATTTTAAGCTTAAATCCAAACGATGCAACCATATATGTAACAGGGCAACCAAGCCTGAACAAAATACAATTGCAATTGGAAGTCATAAATAAACTAGTAAACAATTATAAATTTCGCATAAATTATAATTAATAACCTAGTTCTAAGCATGCTTAACACCAACATCAGTTTAATCATAGTAGTGATATTTAGTTTCAATATAAAATTCATTTTTACCTTTTGATTAAGTCATCCTTTATTATAAAGAACCGTAATATTACAATTATTCGTCTACTATATAAAAAAAAAATTAACCTAAATTCATTGACTAAATTTTACTAATTAAATTTAATAATATAATAGTTTTGATTTACTAATAATACTATTATCTCTTTATCTAAAAAAAAACAAAAATACTCAGCGGGTTTGTCTTCGAATGCATTTTTTTCCTTGCGTCAAACAGTTTAATGTGTAATATCAGATGAATCTGCAGGTTATCTTGATGACTTGAAGAAGTTCCGCCATTTTGAGCAGATGGTCTGTGAACTCAAAGTTTCATCAGTTTTGATGTGAATAAGTTGTTTCAAAGATATTAATAATTGATTTTGTTTCTGAACGATTAACTATATTATACCAGTAAAGCTCATTATATTGAGGGGTGTGTGCTTTTTAGGCTTTCTTTTTTCTCTCTTGTCACGTTTATATCTTTGGTTAGCGATCGCTTAAACAACGCGTTGAAAATTTTATTTGGAAATTTAGAAATATTAATGAAGTAAAAAATAATATGCACAATGCAGATCATCATATTTTCACTTATAAATTGAGCTTGTGCAAGTGATACAAACCCAAAAAAAGGTGGATCGCTAAAGCGGGGTAATTAAAAAGGTTACTTTTTTGATGCAGTTAGGGTAGATATTTTATATAATATCAAAAATATAATTATGCAGTATATAGATCCTTATATTGAATTTACTCCGCTTTAGAGGACCCCCAAAAAGGAAATTCAACGTAAAAATAAACCAAGCTCATGAAAATAAAAAGTTAGGGTTAGAACGCTAAAGTTAGGTGTTATAGAAATAAACGTTTATTTTTTATGTATAATATTTCATTTTCATCACTTTTAATTAGTAATCAAAGATAAGTTTAAACACCCAGTTTCTTGTTTTTTTATGTTTTTCTTCGCTTCGCTCACATGTCGGGCTGATCTGGGATAATCATATTTTATGTTCTCTGATTGGCTAATTTTCTTTTTTAGATTTATATCACTCGCACGCAGCCAGAGTACCGTTCCTAAGGAAATTATGATCTCGATCATACATATTAGTTTAGCCAATTAAACCCATAATTTTTATCAGATGAAAAAAATATCACATGCTTAGCTTGAAATGCTACCTCTAAAGAAGAGGTTGATAAGTTTTATGATTTCTTGGTTGAAAAAAATTACAAAATCCTGGATGCCCCAAAGGACTATAACTATGCACCTGTCTACTATGCTGGTATGTCCACATTATTTTATGATTTAATATATGTATATTTCATTGATGCAATTAACCAATAGAAATCGTAAAATAGAGAGAAAATAAATGTCACCCAATGTTGTTGTTAGATAAGCATGTATTTATTAATTTAAAAGATTTAATTACAATTAAAAAGTACGTTAATTACTGTTTAAAGGTATTTACACGGGTCTATATGAAAATCATGTGATTTTAAAAATCACATAATTTTATACAGTCATACCTCCATATAATCACCCATTTTGTCTAGCACTTTTTGGTGATTATATAGAGGGGTGATTAAATAGAATTAAAATAAAATTACCTCTATATAATCTCATAATATAAAATAATTAAAATAATGTGATTTTAAAAAGGTAAATAATTTTTTATTTATAAATTTTAAATTCTACAAATTTGTAGAATTTAAATATATTAATTTAATTAAGTAATTGCTAAAATATTTTGATTAAAGTTCAAAAAAAATTAAAAATATCTAACAAATAAAAAAGAAGCTATATATATTTCTATTTCATTTAATAGATGTTTTAAATTTTTTCAAAAACTCGATAAGTTTATACTCAATATTCAAGGTTATACAGCACATCCTAGCTGTATTCATAAGCTTAAGCTTAAACCACAACCACAAACAGCACCTCTAAACCAAAAATCAAGAGCAATACTTTATCTTATCCTTTTTAAAAAAATAAACAAAAAAGAGAAAAAAGAAATCTTTCCTAAACTTGGAAAACTTATTCCCAAATCATCTAAACATGAATATAAGCAACAAACAACTGAACAACAACAAGAGCAACAATAACCTAAAACTAAAACTAACCTAGCAATATATAACTTTCTAGCCAATTTCTTTGTTACCAAAGAAATGAAAAATAGAACTCAACTACAAACTGACCTTGCTAAAAAATCTTTAATCACCTTAAATCACACCTATATGACTTTTATTCAGGAAAAGAAATCAAAGTAGCTACATCTAACCGAAAACCTCTTAAAGCTAGCTTCTATCAGATTATTCATAAAATGGCTGATGCAAGGCCTCAATTTCTTGTTGATTTTATTCAACAAAATAATCCTAATACTGATAAGGCTATTACTATCTCATTTGACATTCTCAAATTAACCTTTAAACAACTCACCTACACATTTACAACTGTCTTTTTTACTAAACTTAATTATCTTAAAATCTTTGCCTCATCTGCTACTATTCTACCATAATATAAAAATCAAATTCAGCTTCAATTCTCATCAACCTCGCTTGGCTCCACCTATACCTTTCAAATAACTACCAAACAATTGACTATGCCAAATTTGGAGAGGATATTAAGCTTAGACCTAAGAGATTCAAAATTTCATCCACTGTTTTAGACTATGATAAAGAGAGAAAATACCTCTCTATCAAATCTGATAGCAAGTTTAATATTTATCTAAATTTTAATATTCCCAAAACTCTCTTCTTATAAACTTTCAACATTCCTTCTCTTAAATTTTCCTTGATTATTTCGATAAATAGTTTGAACTTTTCTTTCTACCCTACAACTGACAATTCTCTGATTCTCTTAATAAAACTAAAGTTTATAACTCCCTTAAATATCAATTTTGCCAACAGTTTGTTTTTTATCTAAAAGAACTTATTCTCTCTACTCTAGATTTTTAAAAACCTAATAACTTATTAGAATGTCATAAAGAAGCTATGAAACTTGTCAACTACCACATGCTAACCTGCTTAAACATTACCTGCCCTTATATAGAAAAAATTGAAATTAAAAACAAAGAAAAAGAAACAAAAGAGCAAATTACACAACAACCTATATTCTGACACAACTATGCTAAACTGCTTAAAACTATTATTGAGCAATCATATACTACTTTCTCTAAACAACAATATGAATCTTGGTTACATTCCGATATTAATCCATCACTGTTCATTATTGATGGAAAATATGAAGCAACCTTTATTAAGGAGGTCCC